GGGGGAAGCTGGGCGCCATGGCTCATACCTGTAATCCTAGTACTCTAGGAGGCCGAGGCAGGAGGATTGCTTGAGGTCAGGAGTTTGGGACCAGCCTGAGCAAGAGTGAGACCCCATCTCTACTAAATATAGAAAAAATTATCCAGGCGTGGTGGCCTGTATTCCCAGCTGCTCAGGAGGCTGAGGCAGGAGAGTCGCTGGAGCTCAGGAATTTGAGGTTGCTGTGAGCTAGGCTGATGCCACGGCACCCTAGCTCAGGTGACAGAATGAGACTCTGTCTCCAAAAAAAAGGGGCTAGAGCAAAAAAGGTACATGGGGAGAGAGTAGCTGGAGATGCAGTTTTAGAGTTAGACCAAGAGCATTGAAAGATATAGTGAGGATTTTGTATCAAGAGTGAGAAAAAGCTACTTCATGGTTTTAAGTAAATGCATAAAGTGGTGTGTGTTTTAAGATCCCTTTCGTTGCTGAATGTAGGGTACATTTGGGGACTGAGTATGTGGGCGCAGAGGCCAGGAGACTGGTCTTGGGATGTTTCTCTACAATCCAGGATGCACTGAGGATAGAGAAGAGGGTGGGATTTGACAGAACTTGCTGGTTTTGGGCAGTGAGGGAAAGGAAGGAATTAAAGATGCTTCTACTTTCCAACTTTAGTAGATGACCTGGGTCTTTACTAAGTTGAGAAATCTGGGATCAGGAGATGGGAACCATACCTGGGGAGGAAACTAGACTTTGATTTCAGCGACTTAGCTCAGCATAGGTGTTTGGAGTGTGGACTCTGAAGCCAGAACAGCTCACTTTGAACCCTGACCCTGCCATGTGTTAAGCGTGCTGACCTTGAGCACTTACCTTTGTATGCCTTAATTGCCCCTCTGAATAATGGGAATAATCTAGTATCTGCCTACCTTGTAGGGTTGTTATAAGGATTAAATGATTCAGTACATGAAAAGTGTTTAGACTGGGGGCTTGGCCCATAATAAGTGCTCAATATATTTTGATGTTTATTAGCTATTATCATATAGATGTGTTACGATTGAAACACGTGAGCTATCGTAGAATGGAGATAGAGGTAGTCAGACATGCGAGTCTGTAGTGCAGAGGAGACATCTTAACTGAGATATAAATTTGAAGACACAACCTAAAAATGGCATTTATGTTAGGGAGAGAGTAAAGAGAAAAGGAAGGGGGCCCAGGACTCAGCCCTGAGGTCTGATTGTGTGAAGTCCGGAGGAGAGCAGCTGGTAGTGAAGTAGACAGAAAACCAGGACATGCTTTATATCCATCATCTTCTATCACTATTTTTTAAAATTTTAGTTATTTTTTTAGAGACAGGGTCTTACTCTGTCACCCAGGCTTGGATGCTATGACACTATCATAGCTCACTGCAGCCTCCAACTCTGGATTCAAGCCATCCTCCTGCCTCAGTCTCCCAAGTAGCTGGGACTATAGGCATGTGCCACCACGCCTGGCTAATTTTTCTTCTTATTTTTTTTTTTTTCCTAGAGTTAGAGGGGGGTCTTGATATGTGGCCCAGGCTGGTCTTGAACTCCCGGCCTCAAGCAATTCTCCTGCCCCCCCTGGGATTATACTCATTAGCCCGGCCCTTCCATGACTCTTGTTTCTTAACATGGATTAAGAAGTCAGGGCATTCATTATGTTATCCTGTAATTTGGTACCTTGCCAGATAGAGACGTGACTTCTGCTATAACATTTCTTGTTCTCTCTATTCTGAATAATCCTATTACTCTTATGAAGTCCTCCAGAAAGGATAATGAGTTCCATTAATGTTAAATTAATATCTTTCTGCTTTACTCCCTGAGTTTAAAGACTATATAAGCTATACAATTCCAGTAGCAGGTTTCCTTTTCTAAGGTAATTGAAATTAGAAAATGAAGTTTTAAATGATCCCACTGTGGTTCTATCTGGACTGAAATAATAACACTGCACACTTTGTTCTAATTGCCAGAGATTATGTTGGGTAATGACTGTCTGACAGGGTAGACTTAATTTAGCTGCCTTCAAAGTCTTGCTGGTACTTAACACTTCAAAATAATAATTGTTTTGTAATGTCCTGGATATTAATTCTAGTGCATTTGAGGTTTTTCTCATTTCATATATTTGAAGGGATTGAATGAATACTTTGTAATTACTTTAAAGATTTTCTATCATTTAAATCATGTGGATAAAAAGGTACGGATAAGTGGATGTATTCACTTGAGTGGGTCTTTTTTTAAAACTTCTTTTACATTTCCTTTCCAAATGTTTTGGTCTCCTTTCTTTAATCTCATAGGTCAAAGGTCATCATCTCAGACACACTTTCCCATATTTAACTCACATTTGGATAGAATTAATAGTCCTTGAGATGGGCACAATCAGTTGCTTTAAATTGTGCTCAAAATTGTGAAAGTTGGCCAGGGGCAGTGGCTCACGCCTGTAATCCTAGCACTCTGGGAGGCTGAGGCAGGAGGATCGCTTGAGATTAGGAGTTTGAGACCAGCCTGAGCAAGAGCGAGACCCCATCTCTACTAAAAATAGAAAAAATTAGCCAGGCGTGGTGGCCTGTATTCCCAGCTGCTCAGGAGGCTGAGGCAGGAGGATCGCTTGAGCCGAGGAGTTTGAGGTTGCTGTGAGCTAGGCTGATGCCACGGCATTCTACTCAGGGCAACAGAGACACTGTCTCAAAAAAAAAAAAAAATTATGAAAGTTAATATACAATTTTATGTTTATGTTGATACCTTTTTGGAATGGTGGCAGCTGTCTCACAATTTTATCTAGACAGAGCAGAGATGTATCTCACTTTTTCATGTGATCTTTTCCTAAAATGATCTCTGGTAGAAAACCAGATTCCTATTTATATCAAAATAGAGCCTATAGGAGAATCTACTGGGATAAACAAAATATAATCATGTCTCTTTATTTTTAAATCTAGCCTTTTAACATTGCTATTTTATAAAATAGAGAAATAATACATCCTTATCATTTTTAAATGATTTTTTTGTTATAAAAAATTGACTACACTAGGAAAGAATTAGGAACTGTCATACACTGGAGGAAACTAAGGAGACACAACTAAATGTCTTGTGTGATCTTGGATTAGGTTCTGAAACAGAAGGAGGACATCGAGGCGAAACAGGTGAAGTCCAAATAATATCCGTGGTTTAATTGATAGTGTTGTACCAATGTTAATTTCCTGATTTTGATGATTATGGTAGAGTTCAGTAACTTATTAACAGGGAAAGCAGAGTGAAGAGTATGTGTGAACTCTGCTGTGTTTACAACTTTCCTTTGTGTCTAAAATGACTTCAGAATAAAAATTTAAAGAAGAAATAGTTCATTTCACTAACCTAGAAGCTTGAAGGGTAGTGATTGAAAAGCATGTATGTGTGGCATATTGTCTTGTACACTCACAGCTTACTTAGAGAAGAAGGAAACTTCACAGAATTTTATTTGTGAAATTTTAATGGTTTGACAAAGAATTTTAACAGTAAGTGTCAGTGTTATATATAATGCCACATAGCAGATCATCCAGATTAACTTCTGATAAATTTTGCAGATTTGTCTTTCTAGAAGTGATAGTTATTTTTATTTTATTCATTGGATAGACACACTTAGCCTGAAGAAGGGATTGGCCAGAAAGTAGTCAAGAATCGATGGTTACCCATATAGATGGTCACCTGATTTAGGCTAACGACATCCCTACATTTATTGGAGAAAACATGGTCTTTTCAATAAATAGTTCTGGGTGAAGTCAATAAGAGAAAGATACCTCACAAAAGAAGATGATCATATGTTCAATAAACATATGAGAATATTCTCTACATTATTGCTTATAAGCAAAATGCAAATTACAAGTATAGTGGTGAATCACTACACCCCTTCAAAATGATCAACACTCTCAGCTGACGATACTACCCGGGTATGGGTGTGGAAAGACTGGAATTCTCAAATTGCTGGTGGGAGTATAAATCATACAACCACTTTGGGCAAACTAACGCTAAATATACACCTACCCCATGACCCAGTAGTTCCTCTCCTAGATACATACACTAGAGAAATGGGCACTACATAAGTCCATCGTACGCCACATATAAAAATGGTCATGGTAGCCTTATTCATGATAGCCAGA